GTAGATTAAATAAATTGTGTAGATGTGTATGTGTACGTGTATGTTAGGTATATATACTATATATATATATATATATATTATATCTATATTCGCTTCATTATGTATATCAGAATTAATCAATACATATGTGTATGCGCTTAGTGTAACGGCGTGTTGGTCATCACACTGTTACGTTAGTGTTATTATATATAATCGTATAACTTTATATTTCCTCTACTCATCATCGGTAGTAATTGAGCACTTCGACGGCACGAGTTCGAGAGACAACCATTGGAATATCTCTCTCTCTCTCATCTCTCTCTCTCTCTCCTCTCTCTTTCTCTCATTTCTCTCTCTCTCTCTCTCTCTCTCTCTCTCTCTTATATATATATGCCAACGAACTTCGCTGCCATAGCCTCATATCCCCGCATCCTATCGATCCTGTCGCGACTGTCTCAGCAACCCAGGTCGATTGTACAGCATCCCTGGTGGCTATGAGCAGCGATCACGTGATCCCACGGTGTATGAGAAACCTGTGGGTATTGTGGGATGCGCTGTCCATGTGATGATGCGTGACAATAAAAATGATTGATCACGCGTCTCTCGTGAGGCATGATGGGCAGGTAAGAAGCCTAGCCCCGCTGAGCTTGTGTACTAAATGCTGGGCTCTGCTCTACAGTAAAGCAGTTAGTATCCGATCTGGAGCGACCGAGACGGGTCAAGCACGCACTGGCAGGCCACGAGCGGGAGCGCCTCATCTTGCGCGTCATGCGTAAGCATACCAGTATCTAAGTTAACCCCTGCAACAGGCAAGCAACTCACATACAGGGTGTTAGTTAGTACTGTTTAGTGGTTGAATTCATCGTGTCTATTTCTGTAACCCAGCGACACGCTGGTGTGGGATTTTGTGCACATCTTTTAGTTCACCTTAGGCCTGTTTGACTAAGGCGAAAAAGCCCCGGGCATAATTCCGCGTGCAAACACTTTATCAGCTTGTTCTGCGTTTTACGTGTTGCTATTTTCTTGTGTCTGGACCACCTATACTACAATCGTGGTCGAACCTTCATTCGTCGTCCACAACCTAACGCTAAAATCGTTAGCATATTATATAGGCATATGTATAATACTAATAATATGCTTATATCCCGGCCGATGTAGAATATAACCATATATTGAGCGTCGTCTTTATCACGACGGTACGGCGTATAATTGTACCGGCATGTTAGCTTGACAATCGTGAACGTTATGCAGTAGCATGGTTGAAAAAAATGGGACACCTATCACGCGTATAGCAACGTGTTAAACTACATCCTCCACACGTACACACGTACACAGTGACACACGTACACGACACATGTACACATGTACACATGTTAACAGAGCCCATGTACACACGTACAACCACGTACACACGTACAGCGTACACATACACATCACATACACATCAAATGTTGACTAGCAGTGATGTCTGACTAGCAGTGATGGCTGACTAGCAGTGATGTCTGACTAGCAGTGATGGCTGACTAGCAGTGATGTCTGACTAGCAGTGATGGGTGACTAGCAGTGATGGCTGACTAGCAGTGATGTCTGACTAGCAGTGATGTCTACACGCGCCGCAGACTCGTGATGCGACTCGACCATGTACGCGATCATGTCAGTTCATAGGCGAGCACCGAAGCAAGTTCAACCACAAGCGACAAACACCGAGGTACCAGGCACCCGAGCCGATTCATACATCAAAGACAAGCTACACCCCCACCACGCCGAGTCT